TGTGTGTGTGTGTGTGTGTGTGTGTGTGTGTGTATGTGTGTGCGCGTGCGCGCGTGTGTGTGAATACTTGTTTATAAGCCCAAAATGTACTCGTGTAATTGCGTTCTTGAACTCCTGCCACTGACAGATATGACCGGGAAGGTGACAAAATACTCGCAGAGTTTAAAATAGCCCTGATGAAACATAGCGCGATTATCTTCAGACACTGTAACTGGGACTGCAACCTAGTATCAACCTACCAGGTCTAAGGGAAACCTTTAAAAAAATGGTTTTGTTCTGTTTTTGTTTCGTCTTTATGGAGGAGACTGTATGGATTTAAGCTCACTTGCTTTTAAAAGTTCTTTTTTTTTCTCGGTTATTTGCTTGTATTGTTTTTTTTTCTTGTTTTTTTGTAAGGTTTTTACGGCGCTCGCAACTGCATAAGGTCATATGAGCGCGAAGGGGTGGATGTCAACAGAAAAGTCCAAACAGGGAATCAGGCTTTCTCCGCTCTCCTCTCTAGCCTCAACAGCACAAAATCTGCTTCGACTATCAAGGCACCCCGGAAATAGTAGTTCACAAGAGAGTGACAAACTTACAAAAGAAGTAGAGGAAAAATGACGATAGTAAGGATGATGAAAGAAAAAACAGCAGTTTCCCTATGTTGTTTCGGCACAGTATGAGCACGACATTGATAAATCAGCCCATTTACTTTTTTTTGGGGGGGTCCCTTGCCCATTTCTTTTACATTGACGCCATCTGATAAGTAGAAAAAAGTGCGCATGAGAGTGCCTAATAATGTATAAAGTACAAAATTGTTATGGCATATAACTGTTACATATAGATGTTTAAGATAAATATAGATGTTTGTGAAGAATCTGAGAGCAATGATGACTTTAGAAATGACGGTGATGGTGGTGATAAGTGATTATGTGATGGTGCTTGTGTTTATAATTATTAAGAAGACATGCTTCTGTTATTCGGTTGTTGTTGTTTTTAAAAAAAAATAATGTTAGCGTATAGTCCTATCTTCCTCTGCTCTGAAGAGTCACGAGGGATGTGGGAACCCGGTATCCCGTTCCCTACTGGAACCATCTTTAGTGTCACCGTGAAGTTTCGAAATGGTGTCTCTGCTATGGTGGGTGACCTTGTTAGTATTAGCCTATTCTAGCGGGCCAAGACAAGTGAAGAGAGGACCTTAGTAGGTAGATAGTACAGTGGCAGATATTATTTTTGGGATTTCGAAAGGGGTTTGCAGGTAACAAGTTCACAATTGGGTTCTAAACTTAATACTTATTTAAATTTAAACATGAAGTTGCGGAGATTACGACACAGGATCCTCGAACCCGAGTCGAAAGGGAACAATTTACACACAATATTGTATCCCCTCGCCTCAGGATCGTTGTCTTTTTGATGGGTTATTTACTAATTATTTTTTTTGGCGCTATTTTGTTTTTTAAGCTTAAATAATAGAGACGTGGGATGGGCAGAATTTTTTTTACCGTGTCTTGATTTCGGTGCCTATATTTTGTAGGTTACGTAAACATGAGTTGAAATGGTGCAAATTGTTATGTTTCAAAAGGAACAAAACAAGAAAACGAGAACAAGAAAAAGTGGAATTATTTAGTCGATGACGACGACGACGACGACGATGATGATG